CGCCGTGGAACCTGCAGAATTTCTTCTGGTTCCTTCGGCTGGGATCTGTCCTCATTGGCTCTGGGTGGCGCAGCAGATTTCCGTGGCCGACCTGATTGAAGACTTCCTCGACTCCTACTGTTAGTTCGTGGTAGGAATCGTACCTTTGAAACAGCCGAGGCTTACGGTTCTCCTCTTACCTTGGCTTCTTGGCTTCCGGAGCGCTCGACGTCGCAGCTGGCTGCTTGTCTCCGCTTCCTCCACCTCGATGCTTCTTCTCATCCTGCTTTGCTGACGTCGACCCTTGTTCGGTCCCTTTGTTCTTATTGGACCTGTGCTCGAGGTCGTTTGCGTCTGCCTCCTCAGCGTTGATGTATCCTTGCGCTCACGCAAGAAATTCCTTGTAGCTGGACGGGGGCTTTCGGTTCAGCTCTCTCTTGAAGGGGGTAATTTTCTTCATACTAGATAATGCCCCCATTAAGGCCTCTCTGTTAGTTATATCCATCGTGGCGGCGACAGCTTCTCCATACCTCGCAAGCCATTCTCTCAATGACTCGTTCGGCTTTTGGTATATCGTCGTCAGGTTCTACTTCGGGGGCACATATTTTTTAACCCCTATGAATTGGAAGGAAAATGCTTCCTTCAACTCATCCCAGCTCGAGATAGAATTTGGCCTCAGCGTCCTAAACCATCTTCGGGCAGAGTCCGTTAAATGGTTCCAGAAGGCTCGGCATATAATTTCCTCGGCATACCCATGTAAGAGCATGTGCCCCATGTACATTTATAAATGATCGTCGGGATCCCCTCGACCATCATATGGTGGGATTGACGGCGACCTGTATTTGTCAAGGAGAGGTGGCGCCATTATCTCTTCGGTAAATGGGTGGTCATGTGTGTGGCTAGGTGTGATGTCGACGTTTACCCCCTCAGCCACTCATCCTATGTTCTTTTTCAGGCCTGCTACGTCCCCTGTGAGTTTTTGCTCCAGGCTGGCCATGCACTCCATGATGGCGCGCGCCTCCTCTGTTGAGATGGCCGAGCCAGCTACTCTCGACGGCTCTGCCCTTTGACCATTAGGTCCGCCTCTTGCCTGCCCGCCCGCCTGTACTGACCCTGAGTCTCCCGGTGGGTTTCTTCCTGGGTTCTGGGGTAGTACCTCGGGGTTTCCCCGGCCTCTTGGTATCGGGTCCTCGGGAGCCCGGAGTCCAGAGGCCCTTAAACAGCCGCCGGAGGATTGGGAAGGTCGGGGCCTGGGCTGGCCCCTTTGATTATCACTATCCCCGATCTCTTCTAAGATATGTGGGCGGTCACCAGGGTTGGGGTTTTCAGCCATGGCAGGTCCCAGCGGCCTCGGGGCATCTTTTAAAGGTGGCATAGAGTTTCTTCCATCCAAGCGTTCGACCACGGTCATTAGTCTACGTACCAGATCGGTTAGAGTGGCTAGTTGGGCCTGCATCTGCACAGGATCCGGCCACCGTACGTCTGGGGGCGGGACCTCGTTTCTGACCAGGGGTGGAACCTCTTCCACCCCGTCATTCACCGGATGAGTGGCGGTCTCGTCCATCTGGCTGCCTTGGTTGTTAGCCTCAATTCTTCTTCTTGGAGGCATGCCTGCTGACTATGTTGTTGTTGTTGGGGGTCAAACGTATTCGTCCCCAGCGGAGTCGCCAATTGTTGACGGTGAATTTTCGCCAACAAAAACAGGCCGGTTCACCTCAGGGTTTCCTGTCGGATTACCGGCTTAAATATAGGTTATATGTAGGAGTTTGATGTGCTTGTGGTATTTTTTGTGCAGTGAGCAATATAAGAAAAAAAAATACTTAAAGTAGAAAAACGCATAAGCCTTATAGTGGTTCACTCTTATGAAATGAATAGCTACATCCACTGTGATTTTTTCATTTCTTTCGGGATTGTTACAATTTACAAATTGCTCTCCCCTTCTTTTTCCTCTAAAGATCAACCTCTTTTCCGTATGAGGTTTCTCTCCTTTTATAGCCGAGCTTCCTTCGTCGGGGGGGTTTCCTCCTGTAGGCTGAAAAAGTACTCAAGGAGTCTGTCTTTCTAGGCCCAGCCCGTAGCCCACTAATCACTTTTTGCGCACTGTTCACTCAGCCAATTAGTCTCCCATTACGGCTCTGTGCACAGCTGTAACCCTTTTATGTCCCCCGTATGGGCAGTTTAAGGCTTTACATGTAATGCATGTACTGCAGACACCCCTTAGTACTGTACGCAACTTGCCACGTCAGGCTTTACCCCAAGGAGCATTCCCCTCGTCACCAGTGTTGTTTAGCCCAATCGTTCTTCTTGGCAGTGGATTTTATGACGAGGGATTTCTATGTTGTAAGGTCGACAGTACGACCCGTCGATGCCAGATGAAATTGACGCCCTAAGTTGGGCTTCTTACTCAGGCTCTTGACGACGGAGTGGAAGGGAGTCCCAGACGTCGAGGGTTGTTGCCTTACGGGGAGAGGTTAAGGCCACGTGTCATATTGTCCTTCCTCCACGTGTCCTCCATATTTTCCCCCATAACAAATATCAAAATGCTTATCCACAAATTAATTAGTTAGGATTCTCTCCCTCTATAAATATAGAAATATACACACACATAATCTATACAAATGCAATTTTGTTCATCACTTTATATATGTCCTATTCAGTCTCAAGCTTCACAATATAAACCAACTTCTTCTTTCCCAGACACCACCATAACAGCTCACTAATTAACATGATAAAAATGAAGACCAATTCCAAAATCTTTATTGTTATCTTGTTTCTTGTTTTTGCTGCTCCCACGATTTGCACCACTACTCACGCTGCTAGGATGCTTTTGCAGCTTGATTCAGGAAAGCAGATTTTCTGTTATGTTGATGATATTATTGTTGGCGCAACTTCAACTGTAGATCGCACAGCTGCTGGCGTAACTAATTCTTTTGATGATCTCGCTAATCTTGTTGTTTCTGGGGCACATCGGGACTGACATGCAGAAGACACTCTGACGTAAAGTTAGACAGACAATTATATAGATATTTTAGCAGAAAAAAAAGTAAGAGCAGTATAATTGCTCCAAAAAAAAAAAGAGCAGTATAAGGGCTGCCTACAAAAGAGTCTAAATATTTTATATATAAAGTGGGTATAATCACAATCAGATGAATATTCTTAATTTCATCTACTTGTAACATGTCACATCATTTTTAGTTTTTTAGGGTTAGGGCATTCCCTCTTTAGAATGGCCTAAGAAGGATTTTGGCCTAGGAGACGTGCGCTATAAATGCACGTTGCACTAGTGCCCTACACGCACTGCCCTTGCATTCATAACCTTGATACCACAACTCATGTTACGTTTATAATTGGTCGCCTTACTGACTGACACGCATCATAAATTTCCTTTAAAATAGATCTTGGTGTCGACTTTGGTTTTGACCTCAATGTGTCGGAGTTCTCTGGTGACCTCAGTCGAATGGATTGAGATCTCTTTAATCTTTCGTCCTCGATCCCCAAGGATAGTCTAGGACACGTGGCACATTATTGATATACCTCAACCAACATATATATGTGTATGTGCAAGTATAAACTATGGCTAACGGGTAAAAGTTGATGGACAACATTCAAATAAGGCAATAACAAACGCATGATTAGAATCAAATACACGGTTCGCTCAAGAGAATAAAGTATATAGAAATGACTTGTAAATACCACATGTTCATGTATTTCATTCATCGGATTATTTCAATTTTTTTCATTCTCAAGACAAAGTTAAGACTTTGTTCTTTTTACAATTCAAATTTTATTGTTATAGTATTTTTTCTTATAAAAATTTAAATTTAACTTTTTTGTTATAATTTTTTTCTCTCACATACACAAATCAAATTTAAGCTTAAACTTGAGTTGTGAAATAAAAGAATAAATAAAGAATCCAAAACCTTACAGATTCTTGGTGAACATTCTGAACATTCTACTTCTAACAAGATCAACAACTACTATGTTTCGCTAATTTATAAAATCTTTCAAAAGATAAATTAAACTCCATGTATGTTTCATCCTCCAACTGCAACTTATAAGCTAATTAAAGAAAATTAAAGACAAAAAATGAAGTCAAAAGAACAAAAGTAAAAACAAAAGACTAATTAAAAAAGATTCAGACCCCCACCGAATTTCTTCTCTCAAAAGTAAAAACAAAAGACTAATTAAAAAAGATTCAGACCCCCACCGAAACTTTGTTCTCCGATTGATCCTCAATTTCAAGAATAACTAAAAGTTATGAGTGAAAAGACATTAAGCGGACGTTTAGTTCATGGATTCAAAATCATTCTCAATTTATGTGTATTTTTTATGAGATAAAATACTGTAACAAGTCACGAACCATGACACGAATCCACCAACCTAACGATCTCTAAGAGCCAAAAACTGACTATAAAATAAGATCTTAACGGCACAACAGTGGCTTTATATATAGTTGAATACCGTTTATTCTCAATTTTCTTTAACGTTAAGGAGTGAAAACTAAAATCACTTCTAAATTTTAGAGTTCAAGAGAATTTTTATGCTACCAAGATGTTTTTTCTCAGCACCCCTGTATCTGGAGATACAATAATTTGTTAAATATATAAAAATTTATAAATTTAAACGATAAAATTATAAAAATTACAATAAATTTATGAACTTTAAAGATATTCGAATTTACAAGTTTAAAATTAACAATAATATTCACAGGTTATCTATTCTTTTAAAATTTACAAGTTTGAACCGGAGTTATTCCACCGGCGACACGTCTGATTTCGGATCTCTTCCTCTTTTTTATCCTCTCTTTTCTCTTCTCTATTGCACCAGTGAAGTCACGGTCGCGTCGCCGTCCGATGCCCTCTCTCTCCGCCCTCCCCTCTATCTTTCCGGCCATCTCTTTTCGCCCCCCTCTCTCTTATCCGTTAAATAGGCCGCAGATAAATAATGGATCTGGGCCTCAGTCAGTTTAACCCAACAGCAATACGGCCCATTTAATGTTAAAAACGAAAAACCCTCGAGTATCCTTAAACCCATTGTGAAAAATGTCTCTGTTGTCTATTGTAGTACCCTAACCAGAGCCTCCTCTCTCTCTCTCTCTCTCTCTCTCTCTCTGCGCCAAAGCCTTTGTTGCTGTTCTGAAGCTCGAACGCTTCGAAGTCATGGCTCGTTTCCGAAACGTAAGCATATTTCATTTTCTATCTAATTTTCTCGAGTTTAAGCTTCTGTTTGGTTGCCGAGAAAACATGGGAAGGGGGGAATTCATGGACTTCCTCGTTTTTTTCAGGAAGAATTGAGCTAATTGAATGTCGTGAATACTATTCTATATTTTCTTTTGGAACAAAAAATTTTTTTTTGGACAACCAAACAGAACTTTCCTTGTGATCAATTATAGGGCGTCTCAAGTGCTAATTTGATACTTTGATTTCTGAAACTTGAACAGAAGAAGAAAAAGGTGTTTCTGAAGCCAGTAGTGAAAAAGAAGCAGGCTACTGTGGACCATATCACAGGGGATAAGATCCCAAAGAGCTTCGTTTTCTCGAGAGGGAAGTTGCCTGGTCCTCTTAGGCAACTTCAAATGGATTTGAGAAAGATAATGCTTCCTTTTACTGCTCTCAATCTTCGGGTATGAATTGAATTATATGTTTTCTGTTTAACTCTTTTTTTAATTAATTTTTATTTATTTATTAAGCCTGAGATAGGCAAGTATCTTATTTGGAATGGTTTGGAACATTTGGTCATATGGGTCAAGTGCAAAAAGGAATTATACCCTTTGAGAATTATGATTCCTGGATATTGTAAATTTGAGTTTTTTTTTTTTTTCTTGATTGATGTGCTTTTACTAGTTAATGGAAGTCTGGTAGATATAGTAATTGTAGCAGCTTAATTTGTATTTCACATATGTTTTGCTGATAAGAGTGTCAAAAAGAACACAAACTTAGTAAACATGATGTGATTTATTAAATCATTAGGAGTATGGTGTCACTGAACTCTGAATTTAGGCTTAGATTGCTTAAAGTATTGCAGACTGTAGTTCATATTCTATATATTTTGGTCGTGGCAAAGCAAGGTCTTGGCTCTACTTTGTTTTGATATATGTGGCCTGTGTTCTAAATGTGCTTTTACATTTGACTAATTGTCGTGCTTGTTCTTTCCAGGAGAAAAGACGGAACAATATCAAAGACTTCTTAAATGTTGCAGGGCCTATGGGTGTTACACATTTCCTCATATTGTCCAAAACTCAAACTGCGCCCTACCTTAGGGTCGCAAGAACCCCACAAGGCCCAACTCTTACATTTAAGATAAATGAGTACTCTTTAGCAGTTGATGTCGCTCGATCTCAATTGCGACCTCGATGTCCTCAAGATCTTTTCAAAAATCCTCCACTGGTAATCTTTTGCTTTTGTACAAATACATGCAAACATATTTGCTCATCATATAGTTTGGCTCGCACACAAGAAAGAAAGAAATACTTCCTATCTCATTATTATTGTTATTTATTATTATTTTTGCATATGTTCTGTGATTGCTCCTTCTCTTTACAGATTGTACTTTCTGGTTTTGGGAGCGGGGAACAACATCTAAAACTGACCACTATAATGTTTCAAAACATCTTCCCAGCCATTGATATTAATACTGTGAGTTTTTGGAATTTACAAGATAAAAAGTATTACTGAAGAAATACTTTTCAACGAAATTTAATGTGGTTTTTATGTTAATGCTTCAGGTCAAACTTTCTTCCTGCCAGAGAATCGTGTTGCTTAATTACAACAAAGACACAAAGCTCATTGATTTTCGTCATTATTCCATTAGGTTGCAGCCTGTTGGTGTCTCACGGAGAATTAGAAAATTTGTGCAGAACCATCAAGTCCCTGATCTAAGAAACCTTCAAGACGTTAGTGACTTCATCACTAAGTAAGGAGTTCTTATATGGTTGATTATTTACTTTTTTATTTCATGAGATTAAACACTAAAGTACAAAATGAGGTCATGCACTTGTTGAATCACTAGTTAATTCAAGCTTTTTTGAGGTTGACATGTTGGTAGCTTAGCTATATCGAACGTTTATAATCTGCCTTTATTTTGTAATTGCACATATGTATGAATAGGAAATTTAACTTGATAGCCTAAATTTTATTCCTGGCCATTTTACCTTATTACTTGTTTTTAATCTGATCACATAGCATATCTCATTTGAAACGTAGATCAAAATGATGAGCTGTTAGAATTGAGTCTTACAGATAAAACTTGTTGATTTGTGTGGATAATTGAGAAAGAACTGGAATTTTTCTCATTGAATATTGAGTAGCTATTACACGTTTAAATAGGAGGAAGGTGCAAACCGCTTCCTCAAATCAAGGAACTAACAAAGGAAACAATACCACTAATCGAGGAAAGATAAAAAAAGGAAACAAATCAAATGAGAGGATCAGGTAAGTTAGTACCCGAATCCCTTTATTTTAGGAAACAATAAACTAACTCAATCCTAGTAATTAATCCCTAGGAATTGAAAAACCGAATTTCCACACTCCTCCTCAAGCTAGGTTGTAGATGTTAAGCAATCCTAGCTTGGAAACAAGATCTTCGAATGTCTTCCTAGGCAAGGCTTTAGTAAGAATGTCTGTTATTTGCTGACTTGTCGGGACATGCTAAAGTGATATGGTATTGTTCTCAAGTTTTTCTGTCGATCGATCTCCACATGCCTAGTTCTACAATGGTGCACTGGATTCTTGGCTATGTTGATTGCCGACTGATTATCACATAACACCTTCATAGTTCCTGGAATAGGAATTCCTAGCTCGTAAAGTACACGTTTCAACCAAATTCCTTCACAGATGTTGTGTGCAAGGGCTCTGAATTCTGCCTCTGCTGAGCTTTGTGACACAACCTGCTGTTTTTTGCTTCTCCAAGTAACCAAATTACCCCAAACATAAGTACAATATCCGGAGGTTGACCGTCTATCAGTTACAGATCCTGCCCAATCTGCATCAGTAAATATTCTAACTTCCCTGCTTGCTGTTTTCTGGAAGTACAAACCCTATCCTGGTGTCATCTTCAAGTATCTCAAAATCCTGTACACCGCTTCCATATGCTCTTCTGTTGGACTGTTCATGAACTGGCTTACCATACTTACAGCAAGACTGATGTCTGGTCTGGTATGGGACAGATAAATAAGTTTCCCGACTAACCTTTGGTATCTTCCTTTGTCAATGGGAGCACCATCATCTTTGCTTCCCAATTTTGCAGTAGGGTCCATATGGGTGTCAGCAGGCTTACATCCTAGCATTCCTGTTTCTTTCAAGAGGTCGAGCACGTACTTCCGTTGAGAAACCGCAATACCTCTCTTAGATCGAGCTACTTCCATGCCTAGGAAGTATTTTAGATTGCCCAAATCTTTGATCTCAAACTCTAGTAGCTTTTGAGTTTTAGAATTTCTTCATCATGATCCCCAGTTTGGATGATGTCATCCACATACACGATAAGTATTGCTTTCTTCTTTGATGGTGAATGTTTAACAAACATGGTGTGATCTGTCTGGCACTGATTATACCCAACCTTCTTTACTGCCTTAGTAAATCTGTCAAACCATGCTCTAGGTGACTGCTTAAGTCCATATAAGGACTTCTTGAGTTTACATACTTTGTTGGTATTAGTCAGAGTTTCAAGGCCAGGAGGAATTTCCATGTACACTTCCTCTTCAAGATCACCGTTAAGAAATGCATTCTTCACATCCAGTTGATAGAGAGGCCAGTCAAGGTTAGACGCCAGTGAGAGTAATACTCGAAAGTGTTGAGTTTAGTTACTGGTGCAAACGTCTCCTGGTAATCAATCCCATAAGATTGTGTAAAACCCTTAGCAATCAGGCGAGCTTTATCTGTTGACACTCCCATCTGAATTATGCTTGACAGTGAATATCCACTTACATCCTACAAGATGTTTTCCTGATGGTAATTCAGACATCACCCACATTCCATTCTTCTCCAGGGCTCGGATTTCTTCCAAAATGGCCTCCTTCCATTCTGGTATGAGAAGAGCCTCATGTATAGAACTAGGAACCTGTATTCTGTCAAGATTGCTAACAAAGGCACGATGATTGGAAGACAATTTCCCATACGAAATAAAATAATAAATGGGGTGATTAGTACATAACCGTGTGCCTTTCCTTAAGGCTATGGGTCTATCATCAATATCTTCATCAGGCTGATTACTAGGGGCAGATTCAAGACTAGTGTTACCTGGTGAATTTTGTGATTCCAGAACCGGGTTGGATTCATGACCGTGATCAGCTGGCTGCAGTGCTTTATCTTCTTGAGTCTTGTTCCTCCTAGTATAGACACGTAACTCTTTAGTGTCTGCAAGCTGAGTTGGAGTGTAACTATGAGGGGTTTAAGTGTCAGACTCGGGCTGGACAAGATTGTCAGACTCGGGCTAGACAAGATTTGGAGTTCGAGTGTCAAACTCGGTTTGTGTTTGGGATGACTGGGATGACTCGAATGGATTTGTGTTATGGCCATCAGATGACTCCAATGCATCAATATCCTAAAGCTGGTATTCTTGAGTAAAATTCTCCCCCTGAATATTGGTTTTGGGATAGAAGGGTTGATTTTCAAAGAATGAGACATCCATGGAGTTGTACAATTTTCGAGTAATCAGAGAATAACACTTATACCCTTTTTGGTTTAAGGAATATCCTACAAATATGCATTTGAGAGCCTTAGGATCAAGTTTGCTTCGGTGTTGGGTATGAATATGGACAAACACTGAACAACCGAATACTTTAGGAGGAAGAGTGGTTAGGAAACAAGTATTTAGAAAAAAATGAAGAAGGACATGCTATGGTGTTTGAAACTTCAAGACTCGGGAAGGCATTCTATTTATTAGGTAAGTGGCTGTTAAAACAGCCTCTCCCCAGAAATATTTTGGAACATGTGTAGTGAACATGAGTGAACGGGCAACTTCTAGAATGTGTATGTTTTTCCTTTCTGCCACCCCGTTTTGTTGGGGTGTGTCAACACAAGAACTTTGGTGAATAATGCCCTGGCTCCCAAGATATTCTCCTAGAGTTGTCTTAAAATATTCTTTTGCATTGTCATTGTCAGTTTTCAACACTTGTATCTTTGTGGCAAATTGTGTCTGAATCATAGTATTGAAATTTCTAAAAATTTGCCCAACTTCAGATTTTTCTTTCATGAGAAACAACCAGGTGATTCTGGTATGATCATCAACAAAAGACACAAACCACCTTGTACTAGTGATATTTTTTATTCTAGATGGCCCCCATACATCACTATGAATCATGGAAAAAGGATGAGATGTTTTGTATGGTTGAATATGATAAGAATTACGAACAAGTTTTGAGAATTGACACACTTCACATTGAAACAACTTCGGATTTTTATTTATGAATAAAGGAAACAATTTCTCGAGATATAAAAAGTTTGGATGACCTAAACGATAGTGCCACAACATGATTTCACTATCTTTATTGGATTTTTCAACAGAAACTAAGCCTACGGTATGAGTGTGTCTTCTAGGAGGTCTATCAACTTTGAGAAGATAAAGTCCTGAGCTCACCCTAGCACTGCCAATCCCCCGAATCCAAAACCTGAAATTCACACAAATCCGAGGAGAATTTAGCAATATAGTTAAGTTCTTGAGAGTTTACTCACTGACAAAAGATTGCAGTCCAGATTAGGAACATGAAGTACTGTTTTCAAATCTAGGTTCTTTGAGAGAATAATAGAACCTGTTCTAGCCACTTTAGAGAGTGACCCATCAGCAATTTTTATTGTAAGATCATCATGACATGGGTTGTAATGGTGAAACATAGTTCTGTCTCCTGTCATGTGATCAGACACACCAGAGTCTACTATCCATGTGCCCTTATTTTCGCAATTAACAGAAAGAGCACTCAAGTAATTACCTTTGTGTGCCAAAGATCCAATTCCAATGTTACCCTGAGTAGTTGCTGCTTGTGAGAGCATCTTTTGTAGTGTTTCAAGCTGTGCCTTGTTGAAAGGATTGGATTCCGTGGAAGCAGAATTTCCTTCTTCAACTGCGACATGATTTCCGCAGCTATCTTTGTTCGTAGCAGGTCTCGAAGGCTTCCAATCTACAGGTTTGCCGTGTAGCTTCCAGCATGTCTCACGGATGTGTCATGTTTTCCGGCAATGATCGCACCATGGTCTCCCCTTCTTCTGCTGATTGTCGTAGCTGGTGTTCTGTGCTTCTCGAACGGCTAGGGCAGATAAGTTATCAGTGATTGGAGCAGGGATGGATGATTCTCCGAGCATCACCTTTTTCCTGCTTTCTTCTCTGTGCACTTCAGAAAAGACTTCTCGAATGCTTGGTAGGGGTTTTGTCCCTAATATTCTTCCTCGAACTTCATCCAAGTTCTTGTTGAGTCCTTGTTAGGATCCTGCTTAAACTTGGATCTAGACAACCGAAAATGGAGGCAACTCGTAAATGAGTTTAGCTTCTTTTATTGAATTTACTCTCACTCTCAATCTGGAGAGGAGCTTTCTTACACTGATCAAGCAACAGAAAAGAAAAAGAAAGATAGCAGAAATAACAATGGAGAATTCGAGGTTCTCCTTCCTCCCAAGGACTGCTAACAGGATTTCCCAAATCAACAGACAACCATCCCGTTCCCCCCTCCTTCCCTAGATATGCTCTCCCAGGCTAACAAATTCCTAACCAACTTGCCACATCAGCTCTCCTGCCCAGTATTTCCCATATTTCCATTTCCCACCCTCTCCCACCTCTCTTTTCGAATCCAACCTTGTCCTCAAGGTTGAAAGTAGGGAATTGCAAGTGAATCGCAGCCAACGGTTCCCAGGTAGATTCCCCACGCCGGCAGGCCCTGCCACTTGATGAGTATCTATTGCTCCTCCCGTCCCCCCACCATTACCACC